AGAAGAGAACCGCGACAACGTTGGCTCGAGATAAGGGGAAAGGATCGAATGGATTGCGGGGCGCGTGGAGGGGATAAAAGTCAGAGAGGAGGGATATAGCGGAGGGTTGCAAGGTTGCAGATGCCGGACAACTAAGAAGGCACATTTGCTCCTCTACGCATCATAGAAACGTGCAAGTGCTTCACTTTTTTCTCAGTAATTCTCTTCGAACTACTCTCCCCACTCTCCTTCCTCTCTGTGACTAATAAATAACAGAATAACGAACACAATGACTATATCAATGAGTATATCACGAGGAAAGCAAACGAAATCTATCGGGATCTAATAATTAGCCGAATGAACTACATTTTTAGAAAACTTTCCCGACGCTCTCCACGACACTCGACGTCGACTTAATGTTACCAAAGAGCCGTATAGAATGTAAATGACTTCGTTTCGTGTCTCATGTCTAACCAGAGAACATTCCTACCCCTCCACTCGCATCGCGCATTCCATCACTCGGCTCACTATAGTCCAATCCAAACTTCGGTTAAAGCGCCAACTTCAAATAACAACGTTGCCGTGATGCTTTTCGATAAGTGTCGGTGGCACAGAGAAAAAAAAAAAAAAAAAAAAAAAAAAAAGAAACATCGTGCTGCAAAGCTTGATATAAATTGCAGTAATATTCTGCTCACGATGGGTTATTTCCAAGATAGTCATCGGACCTTTGATCGCCGATACAGTCACGAACGTTATGCGGATAATTAGTATATTGCACCAGCTGTATATTTTAGACACGCAAATCTTTCTCGTGAATTTCTCAAGCCACAGCGAGCTTTAGCCCGAGACAAAAGGACACGCCATAATCCATCCCCCGTTTTACGAACCACACACGAAAATACCACCGAACCGTCTTGTTTGAATACCTTGTTATTGGACAAAGAATGCATCGACCCATTGTTAGCCAACTGAGTGGCATTTCTGCGATCCTTGGTTCGTGTCCCGGCTTTTATCGACGCCAACAACGTCGCCGCCACTCCTTCCTCGACACTGCTATCGTCTAACATATGCACCACCAGTAATCTAGAGTACTCTATTCACGTTGCTGAATTCGTACTTCGATTACAATTATCTTCCATTGATCAATGTTGCAGCCTCATCGATGGTTGTACGTTCAACGATAAATGGTACATTCTTCTATCTATCGAAAGAAAGTTCTTGCTGAAATTGAATTTTAATTACACGTGAAATCAAACTGCAAATTCATCCGATTCATGCGAAATTTCGTGATTTCCTACCCGGTACGAAGCCTAACGACAAAGTTCACGTAGCTCGAACTATAATCCTGCTTGTTCGTCGTCTTTGTGTAAACGATTGTTAAGGAACTTCCGTTGCAAACCCGAATAGGATGAGTCAAGATTCCACAGAAGAGACCAGCTAACACGCGATGATACGCAACCACGAAAGCCGATGCACTCGTCGAACGAAC